ATTTCAACCCCTATTCCACTTCATAAATGGCCGATACCATTTGTCCGAGGAGTCTCATAAAAGAGTTAAAGAATTCGTTTTCGAGTTCTTGTCCGAGCAACCTGTATTCGCAAGGAGATCGAAAACTCGCGATCTTATAGTCGAATCTTGAGCCTGTTGGCTCGTTGAATCGGCTTCTTTCACCTTCTTTCATTCTTTTATCGTACGCTATCTGTCTCCGTCCACCTCATTTTCTCCCTGACATTTCTCGAGACCCGGTCGAGAGGGCCGATCGTTAACCTAGATTCTCCCGACACTTTCGACGTCTCTTCGATAGCTCGCGGATACACGTCTTGATCGGACTTCTCGGACCGCGAGTTAAGAAGCTTCTGGTTTCATCGATCTTCATATCTTGGAGAACGGAATTCAGGGATGATGGTAAATATCTCTTCGTGGCATCTTAGTCGAGAATAGATCTGAATGATATGATGGATTAATTCATTCTATAATTCCTATTCACCCTTCTTTTACATTCGGTTAATATTCATATGATCGTATGATCAACATTTGACATATTCTATAACACTGTTTATATTAGTGTCATAACACAAATAGGATAGAAATGTAGTACAACTTTAATGCAAATATAATACAGTATGTTATGCATGCATAATGTGATACAAGCTAAACATGATACAATGTAAATAGAACACAGCTATATTATTCTGACGAACCACAATTAAATTTGAAGAAATCACCAAATTTATGAAGTTTAATATCAAATATCATGCAACACAATGAACGTCAATATGCTAATCGTATCTAATAGTCATCCTCAACCAAAATTACAAATTTAGATAAATCAATCATCCAAACTTAGCGTGTGCTCTCAATGCCGTCAATATTCTTTAACATGTTAAAAGAGATTAAAAAAGTAGTACATCATTAATAACCTGTGTAATATCGTGCCTGACCATATACGTCAATTTTCACTGTGGCAGGAAGTTGTTAAGAAGCTCGTCGTTAACACGGCGAGAAAAATTGTTCAGCGATAGGCAGAATTTTCGTTGCCCGTTAAGCGTACTTCGTAATTACGTTTGACAAATAACAGGAGTAAACGAGGTCGACGGTGAAATAGTAGAACCTGTTCGGCTCGCTTCTACATTGGAGCTTTTTTCCGTTCACTCTATAGTTCTCGGCATATTTATTCGAGCTTCGGAAGGCTTCGCTTTATCATCGTTTACAAATGTCCAAGAAAAATTATTGAAATTTATAAATAATCCAACAGTCTCTAACGATTATCTCCACATCGGTGCTTATTAAAATTCAACCCCCTGTTAAAAGTTCCGAAATTGGAAACCGATCGTTTCATACTAAAATTTTCCGAATTACACCGTTAATTCCACAGGGGATTTATTAAAATTTTTCTAACCGTTTTAACAAAGTTCCCAGTCATCGATCGTCCGGAACTAAAAAGTGCAACTTCCAAAATTGCTGCACAGTAAAAAATTCATTAAAATTATCCTATCCTGTTTCACAGAAATATGCTGTACGAATCGATCGGTGGAATGGGTGCAAGGATTACTTTCCCGCGATCCAATCGAGCGTAGGATCGCTAAAGAAGTTATCGACGCGCAGGTTATATCCTGGTCGGCATATTAAATATTTTGCACGCTTCACGGTCGATCGTGTGCCTCGCATATCGGGATTATAATTCCACGGAGCTCGGTCGAAGTTGATTCTGTAACACAGATGTGCACACGTGAATTTTTACCTCTCGGCGAAACGTTCAAATAGCGTCGCATCGCGAATGTTTTACGGTGCACTCGAATTTATACGTCGTCTCGTTAGAAACGCGTCGCTTATCAACGTGTACGATTAAATTAACCGAAGCTAATGTGGATTCTTGTTGGTGCTCCAAACCGCCAGCTGCTTTCCCGGACGCGTTTTCTATTATTTATGGCAGCCAACCGCTTTACGATTGGCGTCGACAGCTTCGATTTAATGGTTGCCTTGAAATGTCGTTCACCTGTCTGTATCGGTAAATTGCGATGGTGTGACACTACGATGATGTCATGTCCACTTGCTCTTTTCATTTAACTTATACAACGTTTAGGATAATTTGCAATTTATTTTACGTGATCATTATGGAGTTCAATATATGAGGTAAACAATTAAAATTACACTTAAAGTGTAAGTGATGAGGTTTATTGGTAGTTTGAAGTCGTATGAAATTGACAGATTGATACGTATTTTTGAAGATAATGTTGATACGTATTTTTGAAGATAATGTTGATATATATTTTTCTAGATAATATAGCTTGCAGTGTGAGCTTTTGCATATGTGGAGAATTTGGTTGCCTTTTTTCTTAAATACGAATATACAAGTGTCAGATATTTTTCGAAATATTGCATCAAAGTTTCAACCAAATCGATATGCATCATTTGCATTACCCTTCGCTAAAATACCGTCGCTATCGTCGCTGGAATACAGGAAATTCCATAACAGGCTAATAGAGCGTTAAGGAAACGCAGCTAAATATGATCAGCCTCGAACGAGCGTCTACGTTCACCGATAATTATAAAGAGATCAGGATATCGATACAGAGCAATAGAATAGTTAAAAATAAAGTTGATTTATGAACCTTTGCACTCCGATATCTGGGGTTTCGGATTAAAAGGTGGAAGGAAAAGGAGGGAAAAAAAGGTTGTAGTATTACCACCTTGCAAGATAGCTGGCAACAAGGACCGATATGAAATGACGTGCACGTACGTGGCGACTTGCCAACCGTGCTTCTGATAGTGCAAAAATTGGACTGCATTCCTGGTGTTAACACGTCGAGCACGCTGTTCCGCGTGTCTTCGATCGTTTTTGCGAGATTCCAGTGCACCTACCGGCCGCTTTTTGCCATGGTACACACCGTCAATGGACCACGCTTGGTTTATTACGGTATTAATGTAAAAGATAGCGGCCGATAACAGGAAAGGGGCCAGGGATAAACGGGCCGGTCGAACAGAACCGAGTAGGAGGGATTCGATTAATTAGCAATCCGAGATGTTACGTACGGGAGCAGATGTAGATCGTAATCAAGATTATCCCCGATTTGTTCTGTCAGTAATTGCATCCTCGGATTTCGCCGCGCCAGCGTCTTCATTACTTCTGATCTCTCGCGTACTCTCCGCCACACAAGATTCGATCGTTACGGCTGCACGCGTGTGCGGATATCGGTATAATATCGAACTCCCAATTTCGCGATATCGATTAATTTATCAGTACCCATGGACAAAATTCTGCGCAGCGGGATACGATGTCGCGACGGTGTCCCGGTTATTTATTGCCCCCGTTTCGCTGAAATTCATGGTCCTGGAATCTTACGAACGGTTGCGGGATTTTCTTTCTTCGGAGAAAAGAAATTCCACGGAAGATATGTGGATTCGGGAATAAACTGGTATTTGGGGATACTGGAATTGTTTGGCGATGCTCGTGTCGAAGCTATTTTTGGGTGCCAGGTATTATTCGTGTTTTTTATTCCTACTAAATCACTTGTATTCGACTTCGGAACCAGTGAACCTCAACAGGGAGTTTGAACAACGAAACTCTGAATTTCAATCAACTTTTGTGTATCACCTTGTATTCACATCCAAATGTGCATTAATACCAAACTCATAAAAGAGTATAAATATAAAACATACAATACAACAAGCTTCATGTATGTTTCATATTTTTGTGTATCACATTGTGTTCACATCCAAATGTGCATTAATATCAAACTCATGAAAGAGTATAAATATAAAACATACAATACAACAAGTTTCATATATGTTTCATATTTTTGTATATCATATTGTGTTCACATCCAAATGCGCATTAACACCAAACTCATAAAAGAGTATAAATATAAAACACACAATAAAACAAATTTCATACATATTTCATAGTTTTGTGTATCACGTTGTGTTCACATCCAAATGTGCATTAACACCAAACTCATGAAAGAGTATAAATATAAAACACACAATAAAACAAATTTCATACATATTTCATATATATAATAATGCTACAAAATTTGCTAAAAAAACACCTACTTTAAACTGTCCTATTAGACCAAAAGCCTAACGAAAATAAAAATGAAACAATCTATAACCCAGTTCGATTAAAGATCAAAAGTGCTTGGATATCTGTTTTCGGTCGACTTTTCGATGGTTAATCACCTCGGTAGAAAATGGCGCTCAGCGTTCCGAGATCGAAATCACTCGAAACAAGCACTCAAACGTTTTAGCCGTTGGTAAATTAATTTTGCAACCTATCGACGTCCATGTAATTACAGTGTCAATTTTGTTTCGCTACCTCCTGGTGTTCCCGTTCGTTTCCCTAGCAGCGAATAAATTCAACGCCGCGTTTCAATCCTCCGCGAATTCGTAACTTCGAATAATCAATGTTGGATCGAGTTTCTCCTCGTCTGAAGTTACTCGTCTCGAATGCACAATTTCCAAATTGCTTGTCTCCCTCGTAACGCTGACAATCCTAGTAATTATTGCGGACAACGGATCGGGCTTGGAATAATTAATTGTAACGACGTTTGTATCTTCAATGGAAATCGAACTACGATTAATTAAGACTGCATCAGATTCGATTTTGCTCTGAACTACATACATTTGATAAGTTATTTTGAATACTGTAATGACTGCAAATAATCCTTAAATGTATTATAGTATTTTTTATGTAATATTTTTGTGACGTGTGGTCCTTTTTATTTGAGCTCGTCAACTAGTTATCTGAACGATGTAAATGAACCTTGAGGTTCAGTACCGATTTCATGAGCCTTGGTTTGATCAAATGTTCCTTCAATTTGCATTGTACGTGGAACATTAGTCCTAACAAGAACACGTACCATCTAAATAGATTAATATTTGATCGTTCCAAGAGTGTATAGTGGATTAGTAATGTAATTGAATGTACAGCGAATCGTATGTTTTTAAAGAGCCAATTAAGAATGTTAACATGTTCTTTGGTGTTGCAGGCAATATCAAGACCAAAGCAGCGCTGGATGTGGAATCAAAGAGAGGATATTGGTTGACGGTGTACGCGCAGGATCATGGCGTCGTTCCTTTGAGCTCGAGCTTACAGGTACACACGAAAGAAAATGAATTTTCCCATATTTTCGGTAAATTTATAGGCTCGCGAATTTTTTGCCTTTGGTACCGTAATTGTTTAACGTCGCGCGGTTCTTTGTAACGGTTTTTAAGCTTCGTTAAGGTTTCCCTATTGTGTAAAAAGTATTAAAGCAAGTGTTCTCCACTTTCTACCTGCATGTAGAAAGTGGGACGATGACCAATCAATAGCAGCGCTTGATAGATGTTTCCGTGCCATTCAGTTTTTCTCTTAAAGATTGTCTGTGCAGTTTAGAAACTATCTGATCGACCATTGATTAATTAATCGCACGAAAAGTGCAACTTTCCTGTTAGTATTTCTGTTATAACTTTCTTTGTGAAGTTTGACGAGAAAGTTTTTCTTGGAGGAATTACTCGCTAAATAACTAATATGTTTGTACAGGTATACGTGGAGGTGCTGGACGAGAACGACAATACCCCGTTGACCGAGGTTCCGGTTTATTATCCGTCCGTTCCGGAGAACTCTCCGGCAGGTGTGAGCGTCCTGCAGATCCGAGCGTTCGATCGCGACGTCTCGCCCCAACAATTCACCTTTTCCATCACGAGTGGCAATCCAGAGGGTTATTTTCTCATCAACTCCACCACCGGTAAGTTCCACATGGCCAGACGCGTCCGAAGAGCAATATCTTTCCGAGAATCGAAATAGATTGGCTGCGATGTTGTAACCCGCCTCTCGTCGCTCGTAACGAGATCAATTTTGCCGGACGAGGATTTTAATGGGCCCCATTCGGAAGTAAACAAGCTCGCGATATCGTTTCTTCAAATTTCAATCGAGAACACTCGATCGCGGATAATTTCGGGGAACAAATCGTTCGGTCCGATCATTTATTTCGAGAAGACGCGTTGCTTTCGGTAATGTTGGACTTCGATACGACGCTGCCGATCGACCGTAATGAACGATAATTTTCCACTCAATTTGGTTAATAACGACGTTGCACAGCGATTGACCTTTACTTGCAATGTATCGCTCTTACCACGAATTAAAGACGTAACAGTTAAGAAGTATGGCAACAGCGAATTGACCGAGTTAACGCGTTCAAAGTTGGAATCACCGGAAACGTCACGGGTCCAATGAGCATAAATAGCAAGTTACATATAATCTTATTAATCTGTTCGACAAACTCGGTCTAGAAACGTGTTCTTACCATTACTGTCAATTTGATCTTAATAACAAGTCATGGCTTTGTCGAATTCTTGCTGGAAACAATCTAGACTAATTTAATTACGATTAAATGTCAAACGATCATGAAAGTTCTCCATTCACGGTTACCCCTCTATCGTGGTTAATGACGAAAGTTACAAATTGAATATCCTGTAACGTAGAATATTAGTCGATAAAAGGGTTTCCTTCGACCAGGGTTTACCGTGGGTCTATTAACAATTTCCCCGTGGAATCTATTAACAGTGTTCAAACGACACACCGGCGAAAGAAAAACGCCGTTGTTTTCGTCCTGTAACGCGGCTAACACATGCAAATTTGCCTTGATCGAACTTCGATTCATTATTCATCGTTCCCGACCGCGCCGTTATGAAACGGTGAAAAGTCGCAAAGTCGTTATTGAAAAAAAGGGCGAGTACAAGGGATGCCACGCGTAAATAGGCGCGCACACAGGCCCGGGGTAGAATCAATTTTAATAGAAGACAATTTGCGATACAAATTCGATTCGATTCTACGCGAATAATCTTGGCGGGAGGCGGCGAGCGATTAAATTGGACTTTTAAATGAGCCGCGAGGGTGAAATTGGACTTTTAATTTGAACCCCGAGCCAGCCGGATCCGCGGAAGCAGCTATCGCCGTCTTCATTGAGTTCCTTCTGGTAATCGTCGATTCTATATTCAGGAATATGGTAATGGCAGACCTTAATGACTTAAAATCGTTGCAATGAAATAACTAACGAGATTAATTTCAATGCGGGTACACATATTTGACACGATGATCGTGGCGAATTTAATTTCGTTAAAACGGTACTAATTCTGCTGAAAGACGTGATAATACATAGATGTGATTGTAAGATAAAAGTCCAACTTCTGACCGATATCGAAGATGTCGGGCCGCCCGACTAATGATTGATTCGATCACTGCGACGACTTGTAAATGGCGCTACCGTGAAAATATTAACGCAAACCAGTATGTAATGCGGAGAATATTACAGAAAGCAACAGCAATTACCTCTTCGTGCAACATTCGAAAGTACTTTCGGCAGTTTGATTTAATTAAAGTGAAAAATGCCAGGTATTTTATCTCGGCGTATGCATCTGTATTTACAAGTACACAATTGTGATAAATTGCAGCTTGCGAAACGGACTAATTAATATGCAGCAATAACTTAATAAGAGTTATCGAGTGTGCGAAACATCTCTCGGTCAGGTTGCAAATTAACACGAGTGGTCTTCTCGACTTCGATACTCAATTAAGAAGAAAAATCGTGCAGTTTAACGATGAATTTACAGCCCCCGACTGGGTATAAAAATCTTCATCAACGAAATCTTTAACACGACCAAAGTTGCATCGGTAATTAAAGGTTTCCCGAGGCAACTTCTCCCTCTCTTGGTCGTAAATACGGTATCAAGCAAGGTGGAACCACCGGTAGCTTCAAAACTTGCGAAATAAATCTCACCGAACAGGATACCGTATAAATTTTCCCCGTTCAAACGCTCGGTTTCGTTTCGTTTCGTTTCTTCGCGTCACCCCTTCGCGTTTCTCCCTACGCGAACTTCAGGGCCGTTAATTACAAAACGAGCGTGCAACGAACAGAGAACTCGCAATCGAAGTTACACATCCATCGGGCTGCTCGAGGCGGGGATCGGCTTTCTTACGGAAGTTTCGTAAGGAGCCATTTATCCGCAGTCATCTCGAAGATCGATGGTAGCTCGAAAATTGCTTACACCGGTAGAAGGCAGCTTGCAATTAAAAACTTGAACGCACGTTGATTTGTATTCATCAGTCTTCCGCAATCGCAACAAACTTTATTTCCTCGCCTTTTTCGATTCCAAATTACCTTCGATCTTACCTCGGATTATCGGGGCTTCAACAAGATTTTAAAGTCATTCTTTAATCAGCTTAAATTCCCTTACCCGCAAATTTATACAATCCTAGTTAGCAAGTTTTTAACTGTTGTAAAGATTTGATCTACGGAAAAGTTCTGTACGATGTCTTCCTAAATTTATCTTCAAACATGTCATTCTAATAAAATTCAATCAAAATATCCATCTTGTTGAAAATACATTAGTAGATTATATTGTTCAGTGAATATTAATGAATGTGTTAAAAGTCGTACTTATACTAATTTGATAAAATCTTATTTGCTATGATCACTGATTATTTGCTTCTCATATCTGATTGATCATCAAAGTCACATTAGAATATCAAAACACCTAGTCACATTAGAATATCAAAATACTTAGTCACATTAGAATATCAAAACACCTAGTCACATTAGAATATCAAAACACATGTGAACATCGAATTTTAAAGTACAATCCGATGAACATAATCAACAGCAAGCCCGAATCTCTCAACGAAAAGTGCATGTACAATAATCTCGCAGCATCCTGATGGAGCAGCATCCTTTTAGAGTGCGCTCGATACGAAGAAGAAAGTAAAAGAACCTCTCCGGAACAGGGAGTACGATTTATTCGCATGGTAGTCGGTCAGCCGAAGCGCGACTTGTTCGATAAAATAAAAACGTGTTCAGCGGACCGGCGTCGCTTTAATGCGGCAGTCAGTTGAATCGAGGAAAAAAAATAAGAAACGATCAAGCTGCGTACTTATCGCAGCGTGAATGCGCTCCGGGAATCGACGATAAAACGAGAGGCCGGAATATGTACTTCTCGCGAAGACCATGCGGACATCACTCGACGATAACCCGATGACATTTAAGACCGATATGTTTCATCCTTCGTTGTGTTAGCACTTCCGCTCGTGCTAACGCGAAACGACCAATGTTAAGCTCTCCACTTTCCAACTCGATATTTTCCGATTCTGTTAGATCAGGTTGGAACATATTTCCATGGTTGAACTTTGGAAATATGGAGCGTATTATTCCAAGGGGTTAAATTCTACTTTTTCTGAAAGTCACTTTTAATGTTTTATCACGCTGTCTATAGATATCTTTGCACTATTTTAAGGGGATGTGACCTCGTACTTTCTGATGATTGATACCAAATTTCAACTTTCTCTGTCTGTTTTAATATTGTGAATATATTCAGCTAGTTCTGGCTGACACACCAGATAAATAAATCGTAGTGGAAGAACTTAAGATTGCGTTAAACAGTTGGGGATGATACTTTGTCTTTCGAGGGTGAAATTCTGGTAATTGAAGAACAGGAACATTTTAATTTGAAGACACTGATTACATGATTTTATGATGAATTTCGTAAAAATGTTACTGTAAGCAGTAGTTCTATATTGCTATTTTTACCTGCTTTTCCTGTAGTCATTTTCAGCTATGTATGTGTAATAGTTTCGACGAGTCGGTTAATATTTGTACAAAATTTTTTTGATCGTCGAGAACGTGGTTGACATTTTCGGACGACTGAAATTAATTAGAAATAAATATTGAAACGAGGATGGTTAAGTGGCTCGTTCCAGCGGACACCGAAAAACACGGTATATCGTGATGGTTACAGATAGGAGGTCGGTGCATTCAACTCGCTTTCATGCTCGTTTCCCCGAGCTACAACATATTACACGGCTGGTTAGAGCTCGGCGTATCCGATCTAATCTCGGAACAGCGCGGCGTTCCCAAAACACCGTCGTTATCCGTTATTATTCCCCGAGTTTCTTTAAATAAGAACAATAATGCCGGTTGACCGTAACCGCAACGTTAATACGAGGCGAGATCGTGCGGCGCTGATTCGCCGAGCAATAACTTACGCAATCTCGTTGTAGGTTGTTCGCCAAGCGTTTATCGCGACGGTTCGTTCGTTGCGGGCCATTTTCGTCGGATAGGAAATTCGTCGCGCTTACCCCCTCGTTCCATTTTACATTTCGCCGCATTAAACGGCGTTAGAGGGTTATTAAATAAGAATTATATTAGGCTCGGGGCCAAGTGCAATTTTCCTTTCCGCGAACTCGTTTCGTTCTGCCGCTACCGAATGGAAAGAGAGGAAATAAACGCGTTGGTTACGTGCACATAATTGCGTTAACGAAACTCCAACAAATTATACATCCTTCGCTATATCGCTCGATCACTGGTATACATCGTGTTCACAGTTTCTACCTAGCTTTTCCGTGATTAGTATTATTCGCGTAAATCGGTAGGCTTAAACTTTAGGGGTGTATTCTCAGAATTTGAGGTTATGTCTGATCGACTTCATATTCGCGGAAATCGGTAGTGTTGAACTTTAGGGGTCTATTCTCAGAATTTCAGGTTATGTAGTCGAGGTTGATTGACTTCAGGTGTTCACATAAATCGGTAGTCTCAAACTTTAGGGGTCTACTCTCATTATTTGAGGTTATGTTATGTGTTTGAGGTTGATCGACTTCAAGTATTCAGGTACATCAATAGTCTTGAACTGTAGAGGGTTTGTCTTCAGAATTTGAGGTTATGTTATGTACTTAAGGTTGATCTTCAAATATTCTCAT